AGCACATTGTCATCTTTGTAACTCAAATTATGATGGGTTATTTATTTTACTGTTGCCTTACAATCAGCTGGAAGCCATCTAGCCATTCTCCTCTGACTTCTGTCATCAACAAGATGATTTATCCCAGAAAACTGCTGCTCACTGGATATTTTCTCTTTTTCAGCTCTTTCTCTGTAAACCCAAGAGACGGCTCTGTGGGAAAATCCCAGAAGATCAGCAGTTTCTGAAATATTCAGACCAGCACATCTGGCACCAACAACTACGTCGCATTTAAAAGTCACTTAAATCACCTTTCTTCTCCACTCTGATTCTCACTTTGAATTTCAGCAGGTCGTATTGTCTATGTCTACGTGCTCAAGTGCACTGAGCTGCTGCCGTGCGATTGGCTAATTAGATATTTGAGCAAGCAGCACTACCTAACAAAGTGATGGGTGAGTGTGTGTGGTCACAGCCACAAGCAGTGTATTATAATATGGTGACATCATGAGTCCCATAAACACAGTCCCTGTTTGTTTTGAATGCTATTGTTTCATATTTTGATCCACCAGACGTTTATATTGTTATTTGTTATTTGTAATTGTCGGCTTGGCCTAAAGTCCTCAAATATGTAAATATAGAGTTTCCGATAATTTAAAAAAAATGTAACATATGAACTTCCCTTTGGCTGCCAAAACCTCAAATACAGGTTCAAACCTGATTGTAAGCCTTGAAGGCAAAATCAGTACTCCATTATCATAGTCATTATCTGCGATGGCACATTAGTCATCTTTGTATTCCTGTTCTTTCATCCTTCAAAAAACACATTTCAAAGTGACAAACATCCATTTTGCAAACTGCCGAGTGAAAATGCATGACTTTTTTTTTTTTTTGAGTGTGCATAGTCTTAAAAGATGCTAAATCCCACTTTGAAAATTAAATGGTTTCGCTCTGAAGCACCAGAGAATGATATGCAGCCGAGTAGCCTGTGGGGAGTTACTGCGCGGAAACACACGTTCTGCATTCGACAGAGACAATTGATCAAAACAGACTAATTAATGTATGTGTTTTACATATATTCATTTCCGTATCAAATATTAATGAAAATAAACGTATTTGTTTTACAAATGAGCACAAGGCTATCAAATATTTCAGACACACTTCATTAAAGATACAGAGCCGAGAGCGAACATGCATTTTTAAAGGGCCGCGATTCACAATGGCGTACTCTCCAGAGCTGCCTGCTCAGTAGTGTGGCCTAGATTGGGCAGAGTGCTCCGAGACATCAAGGTCTTCTCACGGAAGGACCTAAGCCTTTTGGCATTTTTCTCTTGCACTTTTTGAAGCTATCATAAAAGTAGTGACTGGGCTTTTGATGTCCAGTTTAAAGCAATTCAATTCAGCTTCCATCAATGAGTTCGCTATAGGCTACTTTCTTCTACACGCGAGCATAATGTGGACCGTGAAGCAACAGTTGCTTCTTTATTAGATTCACTTTGGTCAAATTAATTGCAACAGCCCTGCCTTTCGCCGAGGTTAGAATATTCTCCTTTTACTTTACGCCTTTACACACCTCTCAGATTAACCCGGCGCAATTCAGCAGCACAGCAATGAAATCCGCAATCCCCAAGATGACACTGACTTTACTCAGCACTCATTTAACAACTTCAACAAAAGTCCACTTACAAACTTCACGAAGGAACAGAAATGTTTGAAATATGGCAGCCAAGTATGAAACGGAGTGAATAAAGTAAACTCATACAGACAAGGCTGTTAGAGTTCCAACTCTTTCCGATTGCCGTTTCATACAACAAGAAACAGATAACAACAACAACAACAACAAAAAAGAAAATATGGAGGCAATGGAAGATGATGTAGAAAAAACAGATGAATGTGCTTTATGCTTAACATAGACCTTAAAGTGAGGGCCGTAACAACCCTCAGTCCAGATGTTGGCGCTCACACAAGCCCATTTGGCCAGCACATGATAAACAGAAGCAAACACAAGCAGAAATACAGATTTTTTTTAAATAAACCAAGACCAGACAACAGAAAGCTGCAAAGTTTTGTTTATTTAAATTTTCCCGAAAGACACGTCATTCATGCTGCAAGACATAAAACACCAAATGGACTCCTTACTCTGCTTTAAAAGCCCTTTAAACAGTGCTTTAAGAGCAATGCCCAAGGGCACTTTGGCATACACATTAGAGCAGCCAGGAATTGAACCTCCAACCCTACGTCGGTTGGAGGTTAAACCCCGAAAGAAGTAGGGTGCCCTACTTTGTTGGGGTCAACTGCCAATTCTAATGTGAGTGCGAATGATTGTCTTTCTGTGTTAGTCCTACAATAGATTGGCGATCTATGACAGCCCTGCAAAAGCTATAGCAGGAAGTAGTAGTACAGTATTGTAGTTCAAAGAGAGAATTCACCTCTTCTGGTTCTATTTTCAGGCTTTGGACAGGCCAGGCTGTCATGGAGGACTTTGGTCAATAGCAGTTTTTTTGTTTTTGTTTTTAACCCGATCAGGTATGAGGTAGTATAAAAAGCACAAGAAGAAAAATAATCCATACACGGACTAAAACAGGGTGATGGAATGGGTTAGGCTGTGAGACTGGGGTTTTAATCCCTCCCCTCAGTGTTTCAAGGATCTCATAGGCACATGTAACATGCCCGATCTCCTTTGGTGGAAAAGGGACGCAGTAGAACAAAGAGGGGGGCAGGGGCTTTCTATTTTCAAATTCTGGTCTACTGCTTTAGCGTAACCAGTTCACATTTCCCCTGAATCATACAACAAGCAGAGAAACGTACATACCTGCTGGCGTTTTTTGTTTTTTTTAAAAAGGGAAAAAATATTCCAAGTTGGAGAAATAATAAAATGAGGGGTTGGCATAGGTGTTTTCCAACATCCTGCAGGGTTCATCAAAGTCATGCTGTTACAAAGTAGTTGAAGGTAACAATCAACAAATTACATAAAACCAAGCAGCTAAATGAAATGCAATCGCTGCTGATTAATTACTATAACACCCGTTTTGTTTTAGCCTTTCTTTTTGCTCCTGAGCCATTTTCAAATGCGTGTGAAAATCAAGAGTGATTTTAATTTTAAGTCTCACATTTACCCAAACTAAATAGTTTAATCAATCAATCGTAATCAGATTTACATAAAAACTTAACTCATTTGTTTGCCTCACAGCAGCTCGATCTTTGCCTCAGATCCAGAGGCACTGTGGGGTTTGGTATCTCTACGTGGCCACCTGTCAGCTTGATGCTTTTTAAAGCTTTCAGCACTCCGTGTTATCCATAGCAACAAACACTGCGACGTCATTCGGTACTTCGTGTCAAAAGAGTGTGAAAGGGTGAGGTGTTTTTGAGCAGTGAAGTGAGGCTGGCGTTTTGTATCAATTACCCTCATACAGAGTGCACTTTGAGAAAATAACATCTGATCTAAACTTACCCAGATTTCAAAGAACAAGGCAAGTGGGTGTCGCTCGAAGTATCATCATCTTCTTCATTGGTGGATCTTTGGCTTTCTGATAATCAGAATGTTGATATCAGGCCTCTGGGTGGCCCATGCCAACTGTCCTCAGATTGTCTTTGCGGCTGTTTGAGCACAAAGCATTTGGAGCTTTATTGCACATTCTCACTTCCAGTTTCTGATCAGCCTGTGAAACTAACCTTTAGGGTATTTTAAGACAAGTGGCCCCAAATTGTGATGATGGTGTGATGATGTCAGACTCAGACAAAACTACATGAGTGTTTCTGGTGTTGAGGAAGAAGCACAGGGCAACAGGATTGTGCCTTTGTACCCAGCAATGACGACATTCTGAGTCATTTATCAAGTGGTTGCAACCTTTTTCCTTGTAACAATCAGCCTCTTGCACGACATTTTCCTGTGCTCTTATCATAGATTTGGAAGTAAATGACATCCATATTATTCAAAGCAAGCTATGCACGGAACAAGGAACTGGCAATACAGTCTAATTATCTTGCTGTAGGCAGTCGCAATAACTGACATACTCCATTGATGTCAGTGTCAGCAGAACATCAATGTCAGATCACTTCATTATTCCAATTTCCTCACAGAGTACTCTTAATAAGTGTTTAAATATAAACAGAATCATGTTTGCAGAGAGAACTATTATGTATGTGGTGAGGAAAAACACATTATACAGGAAATGATTATATAGCATTAGCAAGTAAACCAGCTTCAGTGACTTATCATGGTGACAGATGAGTTTCCTCTTGGTAACTATCTTGGGTAACGTGCGATGTAGAGGAGATGGCGTGTGAAAAAGTTGTTAATAACTTCTTTAATACAGTAACAAGGAACGCTTTCAGGATGATGGAGAGGGGGAAGCAGCTCTGACCATGTCTGGTCTAATAAAACAGGCAAGTTGAGCAGGTGCAGGCTCAGCAACTTTTTCGTATTAGCACAGATTAGAATGTCTGAATTCAGCTGCTTTGCCAACACTAGATATTCATTTTTCATTCATATTTTTAAACCTCCCTGAAGATAGCTGTTGACAGTTAACCATGTCACACATTGCTCAAGCCTTTTAAATTCAGCTGATTTTTGTTTTATATATTTTTTTTTTCCACACGCCATCTCCTCTATAGAGAGAGATGTGTGCTTATTATTATATATTTTTATTATTATTATTTTTAATCAAGATGTAGGTGTGTGTTTTTGAGCTTATGGATAACCACTACAAACATGTGACTTAGCAAATATGATGATGGACAGTAAGTATGATATTAAGGATTCAAAATGAGCTCAAGCTTCAGCGTGTAATAGTTCTATGAATCCATTTAACACTGATGGGGAACATTTTTCTCCAGAATAATCGTTTTTACTTTTGTCTTTTGCTTAGTTTTCCAGTAATACAGTTTTATGTGTACTGAGGTGTTTTCATTGTGTTTAGTGCGCTTTCTTCTAAGGAATGGAAACTTCCAGCACTCGCCGTTTTTAGGTAATAGTAAAGGATTTTTGGCAACATGCCCATGTAGAGTGCAGACAGGCACAAGTCTGTTTTAAGTCGTGTTTTAATCTCCAATTTGTGTTGTTGCAAAAGTAAAAAGGAGGAAGAGACGCATTGCAACTACCAATGAACTGTCATCGCTCTCAGCGTGAGTGGAACGACTTCACTGCTCACGCCATGACACCGTTTCAGCAGCAGAGGGGGCACTTTCAATTGTTTGAGGTATTGGCAGGAGTCGTGATTACCACTTGAGATTGTGAGTCATCGCTCGGTACCTCGGTGTCCTGTGCTTTCCACGTGGTGCTGACTCACTCTCAGATGAGGAAAGGACATGGGGGAGTTCCTTTGACAGACATGTCTAATGAGAACATACTGTCTCGGAAGCACTGATTGCGTTGATCACTAAGTGCAAGGTGAGAGCCGGCGTTGTTGTTCAGTTTAAAAAACAAAACACAAAAACAAAGGGGGGGGGACAAAGATGACATTTTGCTTTAAACATCTGAATTTTCCAAATAAAATGTAATTTTTTACCACATGACTAAACCAATACCCACATGTGAAAAAATATGGAGAATGTGTGGGTAGGCAAAGTGTGTATCAAAGCCATTCTAAAAGCAAGTCTCACCTCAGCACCTATGTTTGTAACACCTTTGGGCACTTGTCATTTTAAGTGAAAACATAAAAATACATGTACAGAATCACCAATCAGAGAAAAGACAAAGAAAAAAAGCTTTTAAAAAGCTTTCCGCAGCCCTGGGAGAACTTCCACCACCTCTACTGTTACAGAATTGTTCCATGGATTTCAATTCAGGATCCTTGGAATGTGATGTGTCTCATATATGCCTCTGGAAGTACTGACTCATCCTGGATGGCACTGTCTGACATTACATTTCAAACCCATTGACTGTTATGTGTTGATTTTAAATGCACACCATCTTCATACCAGAACTTTTAACAATGACTGGCACAGGAAGTAGGAAGTTTTGGTTTAGATATCCTGTGATATCCAAGTGTGTCATACTTTAGCATAATGAAGCAGGTATTTCAAAAAGCATGGGTAAGGAATCAAGTATGGGTAAAGAGGGATCGGGGGTTTGTCGGGACTGCAGCTGGACCCTTCCCCTGATATCAGCCAGATACACAGGAAGACCAGAAACACTGCAGCCTTGCAAACCCAACAAGACAACCGCACAATCCAACAGGATGTACAACCCCTCCCCCTGAACTTTATTCTAAGCCGTTAAACACAAGGCCTGGGGGCCAGAACTGGTCCTGCTAAGTCTCTAATTCAGCCACTGAATTGTTTTGAAAAACCTTTTCCCTCATACATTTTCCAGCTTTTCCTACTTCTAAAGAACAAAGTAATTTACTAATAAAGAAATTAAGATTTCTTTTTAAATGCATATTATATAAAGATATCTCAGGGATTGTGTAGGTGAAACGTCTTTACACTGACTTCCCATTTAAGCTCAAAGTACGTTGCATGTGGCCCAGGAAATGAAATTAGGCTTCACTGCTCCAAACAAAGGAAACCATGCATTCCCATGGTTTCCTTTTAGATGGATCTCTTACAAGCTCCTCTGGTTGAAGTGAACTTTTAGGACAGCGGCATTTAGGCAGGGACTTCTTATCTGCCACAAGCACCATACGAAACACCCATTTCACTACACATCACGCCCGTGCCCACTCAGACTGTGACAACCTCGGGGGGGTGGGAAGGAGACAAGTTTGCTTTTTATTTGAATTTATTTATCTTTAAAGAACCAATATGAATTGGGGATGTTTTCAAAATGGGTACAATGATTAAAAAAACTGACCACTTTCATTCTTCTCCAGCTTGACTTTCAGATTGAATCTTAGGCTCTGTGTAAGAGTTTAAATACGCATACCTGTAAAAAGTCCTATTGTAGCCCCAGAAGGGAGAGAGAATGAAATTACAAGTACCTGTTGTAGTTACATTTGTTTTTTGTTGTATTTTTTTTTGTTTTGTTTTTTATTTTTTTTAAAACGGCCTGGATGATAATCTGAAGTTCGTGTGTATGTGTGCGTAGGACACTCAGCAGGGTTTGGCGGACATATCTGAGGTGGACTGATTATTGCACTCCAACAAGATTTAAAGAAAAAGAAAAAAAAAAAAAGAGAGAGAGAAGAAGAAAAAAGACATGGCTCTCAAACAGATAAAACTAAAACTATTGGATGACAAAGTGTCCTTGCCCCTGCCAAACTCTTAACTGCCACACATATCTTGTGAATAAATATTACAGACATATTCAAACTCAGTGACCCCTTAAACTGAAAGTGACATTAAAGCAAGTGAAGGGTAAGAAGAAAAAAAACATTACTGCATTTTTCAGGTGAACCTTTGAGTTTTGTGCAAAAAAGACACAGTCACAATGTGTTTTAAAAAAGAAAAAAAAAGAAAAAAAAGTATGTCGTTCTGGCCCAATTATAAAATATCAATAGTGGAAATCAAAATGAGAATATATAATTTCATCACCACATTTGTGTAAAAATAAACATTCACAAAAAATGGAAACTGTTATCCCATGATTAAAACTGGAAAAAAAAAAAAAAAAAAAAAAAAAGTCAAATAAAAACCCCATAAGAGACAGGATGGACTCAAGTTGAAAAATTCTGGCCCGTGGTTGAACAGTATAAACCGGGTGGCGGGCCTATCTGTGTGCTTTAACCTTCCATTCATTGGTTCGGCTGGTGGATCCCCAGATCTGGACTCATTCATTTGATCACTCGCTTCCTTCTCAATTAACCATGACTCAGTGTTAACAAATCATCACAATAATTACTGATAGCACTCTCCGTGTTTTGTTTTGTTTTTTCTTTTTAAATCTCTCCCGTTATCGGAAGATTCCCCACTAGATGTGCACAAGAAAGACGCACTGACAGGCAGCCTACTGAACGCAGCAGATGCTATCCTTGCACCGCAGACGCATTTTGGGTCTGTATTTCTCGAGGTAAAGAAGCTGTTTGGAGTTGAAGGCTCCACGTCTCTTCCTGTGAAAACAAGAAAAGAAGGAGAGGCTCTTTAAATAACGTGACTACAAAGAATGCAGCACATTAAAACATGACGGTGATTACAGGAGTTATAAAAGATTGACAAGCATTTTCAAGCGAGTCAGAACTAGTACTTCTGAATTCCTAGAACTCCATCTTCTACTTTGGCGTAAGGGCTTAAAATGGGAATTTCTCAGTGACTCAAGTGTACTGTCATTGGTCTAGATGGGATCACATGATGTTTTGGTGCAGCACACTGCAACTGGCATATTTAAAGCAAACAACACACCTATGTAAACAGCATACATTAAAGAAGGACTGTCATTTACACAGCTAATGTCAAATAGCTCTTCAAAAAAAAAAAAAAAAAAAAAAAAGATAAAACAAAACATGCTAGCATTTCCTTTCAACTGCTTGGGCCATCCAAACACAAAAAAGTAATTAAGATTAAGCAGGATTACAGGAAAAACCACCAAGTGAATTGTTATAGTTACTGGATGCCATCTTTGGGCACAGAGCAGCACATGCTGGTAATGTGGGTGAAAGGCACATATTAATCAGGCATTTCAGTCCACCTCACTTGCCAGGTTATCTAAATTAAAACAGCATAAAAATAGGTCCCTTTTAACTCTGATTATCATGAGTCCATAGCTCTGTTCACAGCATACTTCAACTTTTTGTTGATAGCCCAAATGTTGCTATGCTGTCAACCAACTCACTAATACAGTGCATTAGCTTTCCAACCAGGGAAGGAAAAACAAAAAAGTTCTGAAAGCACCTTCCTCCCAAAAGGACCTTTGATATCACCTAGCAGAAAAAAAACAGTTCCATGACTCTAAATCCCTCCAACTTAAATGCATTTAATCATTTCTTATGTTTTATGGAGGTCTGAGTTTTCAGTATCAGCACACCTTGTGTCTGATTTACACTGCAAGTCTCTTAAAAAGGCAATAATCTTTGATAAGACTTGGCCTCCTTTTATGGTTCTAGTACAAAAGCAAAGAGTATACTTACTGTCTTATGAACTGCACAGCATCCTCATACTTCATCCCACACTCAATGAGGGCTAAGGCCACCAAGACTGGAGCTCTGTGAGGTGAAGAAATCCAGTGGACCACCAGTTCAAGCAGACAGAGCATCCAAGGAAGAAAGAAGGAGAAGAGAAGATTAAATGCCAAGAGTCACATGGTTCCACAGTAATACGGCGGTGAAGGAATGAGAAAGGGGCGTTTAAACCTGAAAAAGAGGCCTGGGAACTCAACAGGGGTGCACAAGTTCACTGTTGCCCTGCTGGGGCACTGTGCTCACACCCTGAGCCTCAAACACAAAACTAACTGATGAGTTACAGTAAAAGGCTTCTCCTTTCTCACAACAGGAGATGGGGTGAGAAAAGACAAACATAAACACTTTCCAGACCACTCGGCAGGTTAGAGCTCAGTGCTGACAGCAGTTGTTTTAGTGGCTTTTTTCTCACATACAATTCAAGACAGACAGAATGTGAGAATGTTGTGTGGACTCTGTTAAAAGGCGGCACATAACTGCTGCCTCCTACACTGAAGGCTTAAGTGTTAGCCTGTTTAAAGCAGATCACACTGCAAGGCAGAAATCTCATATGACTGCAGTAAACAAAGTACAGGAAAGAAGGAGAGGAGACGCAGTCAGAAAATGCCAGTCTAACCAATATTGGGAATTAGAAAGTCTCTGGAATGCCACAGCAATGCAAAACGCTAGAAGCCATTGAGAGCAGATTGGCTAACTCTGCACTTGTGGTCAGGAAAGACATTTTCACACAAACACCCCCCATGTCATGTGCTTATGCCTTATTTGTTTTCACACTTTGTGTTGTTATTCAGCATAACTTGTTTGTAATTCACTGTCACACTGGTTTCTGACTAAGAAGTGTGCATATTTTCATCTCCGGAAGATCATAACTAGATAGAATGTATTCAAAAGCTAGCGCTTCCCCGCCCCCCCAGAACCAATGTCCGGCTGTTGTAGCTAATGATAGTGCTCAGTAAAAAGACAATCAGCTGCTTAAATGATCTCTAACAGGAGGAGAAAAAGGAGACAATCATTTGAGTTACTAAATGATTCACTAATGAGTATTGAGGATTCAATTCTGGAGGTGGGGGTGAAAGGCAAGACCAGCCAATGCTGTGTGATCAATAGTGAAGAAACAACAAGTGAATGCTTTCTCTGACCACATCTCTCTGGAGCTACTGTTAATACCGCAGCAATAAAATGGTCCCTGGTCACACTAACCAGATTACTAACAGGGCGGGAAAAAACAAAAGGATGAGATACTGGGTCAAATGGGCTGCGTTACACAAGGGACAGGCTGTGTTGCTGCCTTGGAAATGGCACGTCTAACTTTGAGAACAGATGTCTCAGTTATCTCTGCAGCCACTTTGATATGGACCCAAATTAGAGCTGGGCGATATATCGAGTTTTTAAAACATATCGATATATTTTTATACGAGATATAAGATGTGACAATATCCTTTATATCGATATAGTCTATGTTACGTTATAATTATAGTTGTGGAGCCGCAAGTTTGCCTCTCTTTCGTCCACTTTTGTCTCTACGCAACGTTACTCCGCCTCGCCTTCACTGAAGACAACTCCCCCTCCTCCCCATCGCTTCACGTGCAGGCAGCGACAAGACGGACACTGCAAATCTCCGTTAACGAGTTACTGCGCATCGCCCCATGCGTGGGGCTGGACGGCGTCAACGTGCTAACGAGCTAAACATGCTAACGAGCTAACAACGCTAACCCTAAAATCCTTTCATTCTCTCAAAAGTTGATAGCGCGCCTTATGTATGAATTCTGGTTGTGCTTGATGGCCGCGAACCGATTTTATGTGGTACACGGCGCTCAGCAATCTGTCAAAAATGTTTGAGTACGACTTTGGTAAGCTACGGAGCTGCACCGCTTGATAGATTGTCGGCGCATTACGGCTAACGAGGAGCTTCGCGGAGTGATACGTACTGTGCATCAACGTAATATTACCGTATTGTGTGTGTATAAGGACCATAAATGGCACCTGTAAGAGAGGTGGTTATGAAGCGGATTTCAAACTCCAGGCTATCAGTCACACAGTAAAACTTGGGAACAGAGCAGCTGTGAAATCTGTCTTTGTTATTACGCTCAGCGTCTTTTAGTTTACATTTTGACTGCACAATTGTGAGCTCTTTGTTTAGCACAAAAACAACCTTGTTTTCTTTTATTTATGGAGCATTATTATTTAATGAATTCTCATAATTTAATTTTGAGTAATTTTTCATGTACATCTGTGCTGTATGTTAATAAAAGTGCCTGTGTGACATCTGGGACACAGCTTTGACTAAGAACTCTTTTTGTTCTTACTTTATGGCTTAAAAAAAAAAAAAAAAAAACGAGATATATATCTTATATCGCCATCCAGCTAAAAAATATCGAGATATGAATTTTGGGTCATATCGCCCAGCCCTAACCCAAATAACCACCTTCTAACCCTCTAACTTAAAACATACCACTACATTTCTCATTTATTGCACGCAGGACTGTTATTTGGGCACGTAAGAAAAAAAGAGTTTTGGTGAAAAGGAGGCCAACTGTACACCATACATACCGTCCGAGGCCTGCCACACAGTGTACGGCAATGCAGCAGCCGGGTTGCTCTCGAAATTTGGTGTTGAGCAACTTGAGCCAGTTATCCACGATCTGGGTGGGAGGAGGGGCACCATCATCAAAAGGCCAGTCCTAAAGCAGAAAACATCAATCGTCATCAAATAACTTAGTTGAACAGCACAAACATCCAGTAAGAGACTGCCACGAAAATGTATGTCAACACTTACCAAGACCTGTATCCCCTCTTTCTCTACTGGAGCCTTATCATAGGTGGCATCACAAACTCTAACCAGAGTGTTCACCTCAAATTTTTTCAGTTCCTGGCAGAAAACGTGAAAGGGTGCATTTGAGACAGAGCCCTGGGAATCTGATAATCAGCAATAACACAAATGTAAGCATACCTCGGTGAACTTGTTAAGTGTGGCGTTGGTGGGGTTGTGGGTGATGAGGAACCTCATGCGCTCGTAGACAATCTCAACTGCAGCGGGGCGGTTCATGTTGGCGAGACGGCTTTAAAAAAAAACAATTACAATACAAAACTCTTACAAAACAAAAGCGACTTTTGGCTCAGAAGTCAGCAAAAAAAAAAAAAAAAAAAAGAAAAAGAAAAAGAAAAAGAAAAGAAAACCCTCAAAAAAAAATTTGCTAGGAAACGTATGTTTTCATGTAGGGTAGAATAAATAAAAATGACAACACGTGGAGGGGGGGGGGGTCGCTCAGGAGGACAACAGGTATTCACTATGGGATGATGTACACAGAATGATAACACAAAAGAAAAGGAAAAAACAAACAAACTAGTCCACAGTACTTTGGGATTTAAAAAAAAAAAAATAAAAATACAAAAAATACAAAACCAAAAAAAGTTAATAACAAAAAATAATAACACAGAAGAAGATGAGGAGACTATCCAGGAGTCATCCAATCAGTTTACCCCATTCAGGAGAGCTGTTTGTGATTGGCTGTTCAAGAAGAAAGTAGAAAGCAAAGGTTTTTCGTATTCGGTAGGGACAGGGCAGAGCAATCAGGCCAAGGGCTACGCAATATCCCAGAGGGCCTTTGGGAAAAGTCAGCAGTTCCTAGTGCGCTGGCAGTCAGGGGGGTTTCTGGGTAGCGTAGTCCCTCGGGGGGCGGCCGATTCACTTCTCCACAGAGGTGAGGTGCTGTGCCTGGCAGAACTCTCCGCTCACACACGCCATATAGGTACGGCTCAAGTCAACACAGAAACCCTGTGAAGAGAACACAGAAAGGGAGACTTAAATGTAACGAGATCGCACACAAACAGCACCCATTTATTTCAAACAGATAACCAGTGTCTGCACAAGCAGGAGGCCACCGATTCAGGTCGTTACAGAATATGATACTTGTTAAATTTGCACATCTGCAGCTGATTAATGGTAATAACCACAATACATTTTGCATATCATGATTATATTTGACTATTAGTCTGGAGATTAAATATACCACATGTTGACTTTTGAGCACTGGGTGGACAACAGTACAGATTAAAGGAGCCTTTAATAAAGCAGATATAAATCTGGAATTTCAGTTTATACAAGATTATTTTTCCTCCCCATCAAAAAGGCTTTCTATAATAACTAGGGATATATGACTACATTAAACAAGTGATTTTAATTAACAACAAACTAAAAAGGTCAAAGTTAAACATCTTCAAACATTGTTGAATGTTTTACGGAAACCACCAAAACTGCTGATCACATTCTTCAGTGCCTCCAACAGCATTTTAAAAGCTGCTGAAATGTGTGGCACTTTGCAGCCTTGCACAACACTGTTCACACGCACAATGTCAGATTAGTTCACCAAGTGTGGTTAAGTGAACTGTGCTAGCATCAGCATGCCTCTTTCCTTGCAGGTTAGCTGCCACACACTTCTGCTGAAGTTAGGCTATGCCAGATTAAACTACATACAACAATTTAGATCAAAATAACACGCCAGTGTACTAGTTTATGAGTCTGTTCTTCCACATTACTCATTTACAAATCCCAATAGCAGAGTCACAGGTGGCAGGTGACTACCCAGTAGGGCTGCCACAAACGATTATTTTGATAGTCGACTAGTCACCGATTATTTTTGCGATTAGTCGACTAATCAGATCATCATCCATTGAACGTAAAAGTACAGCTTATTGCACCAGCAGCATCTGCTCTTATATAACTATCATTAGCTTACAGCTTTAAGTGTTTAAGGTCTGTGCTAACTAAAAATAAAGACAAGATGATAGTTAATTGAATTCTAATTAAATGTGCAGATTGTTTCGGTGGAGTTTAATAAACTCAGCCGATTTACTCAGGAACAAATAAAATACTGAAAAAAGCCAAACAATAACATTTTTAAGTTATCTAAGTGACTTGTATATGTTTAACCTGAGTAGGGCGGTGGGTTTGAAAACGATCTGCCGGGAGTCCGGTGCTCTCATGGCCCCCGGCTAGCTATCGAGCTAGTGGGTAACAGACGCCTCAGAAAACGTCGGAGCGCTTTTGAAAATATGTGGTGTCTTGATAAACTGAGCAGATATTTGAGGTTTACACAGCTACATTCTCGCCTGAAAATATGTTAAACGTTTATTTTGTGACCCAGAAAGAATAATAAGAGTAATATTAAAACTAACTAGCTGCCGCCATTGTTGACAACTGCGCTGGGCCGCGCTATGAATTCTGGGACACAGTTTCTTCTTCTTCGGGGTTTAACGGCAGCTGGCATCCTTGTACATGCAGTGCTGCCATCTTCTGTTTCAGTCCGTTATTACACTCTTAAGCCCTGCTACTTATTCCTGCTTTTGGGATCTTACAAAGCTTCAAATGACGCGTCGACTATTGAATCAGTCGTCGACGATTTTGATAGTCGACGTAATCGTGACTAGTCGACTAATCGTGGCAGCCCTACTACCCAGCAGCCCAGACTCATACATACAAACCATTAGTTAATCCAACAAGTATTTCTGAATCTAACCAACAACACCACCACCATTACTGAAGTGTCTAGCCAACAAGCTCACTTCCCTAGTAATTAAAGGCATACATTTCAGTCTTGATTAACTGAAACATGATCTGCGGTCTGCTTGTAGTTGTTGTCAGTGTTTTCACTTCTCAAATATCAGCTTCTGGAATTTGCAACATAAAGGTTGTTCCATGCTGTAGAGGTTTACACATTCACAGAAGCAAAAGATCCTATTTTTGATTCCAGGGGTGGACAAATCCCCTGGGGCTGCATCAGGAAGGTCACCTGGTGCTAAAAACTCAAACATGTGGAGCTACTTGCTGGGACGACCCCCTGTGAATAACAAAGCAGCTAAAGGTAGCTTTAAAAGAACTAAAGCACAACGACAGTGTATAGACACTCAAAAATCCCCATCATCCAGCCAGTTAATCCTGCAGTGAAATGAACGCACCTTTGGATTACATCACTGTCAATTCACCACCCGTCACCAAAATGGAAAACTAATAATATTCACAGCATGGAGTGCAGACACTTCATAACAGTGTCTTTCAGAACAGGTAATGTCTGGCCTGTAACTGGCCACGGAGCAGCTGAACTGTGCCAAGTCCTTGACAGTCTAAATCCAGCCGCCACAAACTGGCTGGAACCTTCTCAGAGCAATATGGGAGAGAGGTGGGGAGGTAGCATTTAAAAACAAAACAAAAACGGCAAGAGCTGACTATCTCTACACCTACCACACACCAGAGTGTGTGTGTCTGCGCGTGCGTGCGTGCGCTAAAGAAAAAAAAGAAAAAAAAAGGCTCGGACTTTAGCACCATGTCACAGGCAGCAGTCACAAGGTGCGGATTAACGGGTGGGCAAAGCTTCAAACAGCCCCAGCATTTCAATCCCATGCTCCCCTTTTATAAAAACTTATTTTGAATGAAACAAGACTCTGTACTCTCAGCTGCTTTATATAATACATTCAAATATTAAATAAATTGAGTGACAGCTTTTTCCATCTTTAGCCTGTCTCAAGTCAACCAGCCTGATATGTACTATCAACCACACCGCCACTACACAAGAAGTGTGTCAACCCATGGAACAGCTGCAATGGCACTCAAAGCAGCCTTGACTTTGTTTGCGCCTGTGTGTTGGTGTGTGTTGGCCAAGATCATCTGTGATGCCTTTAATTACCACCACTGAGCCCGACAGAAAAGAGTGTGGCATGGCTACAATCTGACAACTGAAGCCTGGACAAAAGTCGGGCAGGCTTCTAAGGGTTTTTTTTGTTTTGTTTTTTTCCCCCCATCAGCTCCTAATCCTCCAGAAATGAAAAGGACAGATAAGTGGAGAGACGGGGCAGCTAGCATGTGCTTTTCACCTGTGAAACCTGACTGAAAAGGAGGAGAGCAGACTAAGAGACTGGGGGGGAAAAAAAAAAAAAAAAAAAAAAAAAAAAAAAAAAAAAAAAAAGAAATTAAAAAAAAAACTCCATCAAAGAACAAAAGAACCAGACACGCACACAAATACACACCAAGGACACCACAATGACAGCTTATGCTAAAAGGATGAAAAGCAACTGGATTGTGGATAGCTGCTCAGATGGACCAAGTGACTTCATACAGTCTGTGTTCCAAATGCTGCCACAAGAAGGGTTACAGGTGTGCGTGTGTGAGTGTGAGGGGGGGGGGGGGGGCAGATGGGAAACCCCATTTTAGAATTAACACAAGTGTATGCGAACTAAAGCACCTCAGGGCCAGGTGCAGAACATGAGGTGTGGCTAAGCAGCAAGTATTACGCTAAATGCAGTCTCAGTCAAGCTAAATTCAGGCGCTTCATGTTTTTGTTGCAATCCCTTCTCACCGTACTCACTACCTAGAGCTGTAATGATTACATAATTCACTTGTTGATTGACAGAAATCTATTACGTTTCTGCTATTTTGTTTGTACGTTTCTATTTGATTTAGATTCTATTTGTGCCGTACGGTCAATAGTACACACAGGCAGCTTTGTTTGTGCAGATAAGACCAGTGCATGTGCTTTTTAAATGAATTATTAAGTGATCATTCATAAGTTCTTCCTCTGTGAATATTTTATTAACAAAGCACTTTGTGATCAATAAACAACAACAACAACAATACAATGAGCAGCGTAAGGTGAATTCCAACGTCATCGTTATAGGCGATGTCGGCACAGGAAGCAATTCCAGGCCCGAGACCACAGAAAGTCTCTGACATAAGGTACATAAAGCAAAAAAATAAATAAATAAATGAAAAAAGAAAGAAAAAGAAAGAAAAAAATAAATAATAAAAAAAGTGAAAAAGGCAAGGGTCCCGTATTGAATCTTCTAAGCTTTGAGGTGAAAACAAATGACAGCAAATGCGCAAACTTTCAACTCAAACCCAATAGCCATACCTGGCTATTTGTCACCTATTCATAAATTGCCTTACATAACAGAAGATAAACAAGAAAGTCGGAAAGATGAAGAAAAGTTTTGGCCACCAGTTCTGACTAAGCCTTTCAGAGGAAGTAAGCAAACTGTGGTAACACTGGGCCTGCCCAGCTGCTGCCCAGTCTGCCATCACAACATTGTCGGGAATGCATGCAAATTACTGTTGAAATTTGCAAACTGGTTCTGCAGCTATGCACTGCTTAGATCAGGGAAGACGGAAGAAAAAAAATGCACAGAGATACACACCAAATGTGTTTGTACAAGCCAAGTATGTTTAACCACACAGGAAACGAGCAGCCGTCGACAGAAAAACCTTCAAACTGTAGACCGAAAGCGTGTTAACGATCTCTCTAGTCACTTCGACATGAATGGCTGGTATAACTTAGTGGAAATGTTGTAAGAATGCTAGGACAAACTACTAATTAAAAAACAGGCTAAAAATGTTTAGCCTGTATTTTGCTAAATACAGGCTAAACATTTTCTGCAGCTGCTCTGCCACAAAACAGTGCAGCATACACAATTTCACAAAATAGATATATGTAATACAAATAGAAAAAGAAAGTTCTAGAAGGTGAAGACAGCCTGAAATCATCAGAGCTCATGATGCTAAGCTTTTCCTGTCTGGTTAACCCCAATTTTATTTACAAATACAAACTTAACCAATACCATTTTGTTTGTATAAATTGGCAGCAAATGAAGCAAATAAAATTTCATTGCCATTTTTAAACCAGACCAAAACACCTACTAAATGTGAGAACCACATTCAAAATCATCAACGAACATTACTTTTTAAAAATTGTATTTAACTAAGATTGCAAAAATTACTAAATTATCTAA